AGCATCAAAATGGCAGTATCAAATTTGCACATAACAATATTAACCCTAAATGTAAATGGGTTAAATGCACCAATCAAAAGACACAGACTGGCAAATTGCATAAAAAAACAAAACCCATCATTGTGCTGTATCCAGGAAACCCATCTCACATGCAAGGATACACAAAGGCTCAAAATAAAGGGATGGAGGAAGATTTACCAAGCTAATGGAGAGCAAAAAAAAGCAGGAGTTGCAATTATCGTCTCTGATAAAATAGACTTTAAAGCAACAAAGATCAAAAGAGACGAAGAAGGTCATTGCGTAATGGTAAAAGGATTGATACAACAAGAAGAGCTAACGATCCTAAATATATATGGACCCAATACAGGAGCACCCAGATATATAAGGCAAGCTCTTAACGACTTACAAAGAGACTTAGACTCCCACACAATAATAGTGGGAGACTTTAACACTCCACTGTCAGTATTAGACAGATCAACCAGACAAAAAATTAACAAGGATATCCAGGGCTTGAACTCAGACCTGGAACAAACAAACCTGATAGACATCTACAGAACTCTCCACCCCAAATCCACAGAATATACATTCTTCTCAGCACCACATCACACCTACTCCAAAATCAACCATATAATTGGAAGTAAAGCACTCCTCAGCAAATGTAAAACAACTGAAATCATAACAAACAGTCTCTCAGACCACAGTGCAATCAAGTTAGAACTCAGAATTCAGAAACTAACTCAGAACTGCACAGCTTCATGAAAACTGAACAACTGGCTCTTGAATGTTGATTGGATAAAAAATGAAATGAAGGCAGAAATAAAGAAGTTCTTCAAAACCAACAAGAATGAAGACACAACATACCAGAATCTCTGGGACACATTTAAAGCAGTCTCTAGAGGAAAATATATAGCAGTAAGTGCCCACATGAGAAGAGTGGAGAGAGCCAAAATTGACACCCTATCATCACAATTGAAAGAGCTAGAGGAGCAAGATCAAAAAAACTCAAAACCTAGCAGAAGACAAGAAATAACGAAGATCAGAGCAGAACTGAAGGAGATAGAGATACAAAAAACCCTTCAAAAAATCAATAAATCCAAGAGCTGGTTTTTTGAAAAGATCAACAAAATAGACCACTAGCCAGACTGATAAAAAAGAAAAGAGAGAACAACCAAATAGATGCAATAAAAAATGATAAAGGGGAAATCACCACAGATTCCACAGAAATTCAAACCATCATCAGAGAATACTACAAACAACTCTATGCACATAAACTAGTAAACCTGGAAGAAATGGATAAATTTCTGGACACCTGTATCCTCCCAAGCCTAAACCAGGAGGAAGCCAAAACTATGAATAGACCAATAACAAGGTCTGAAGTTGAGGCAGCAATTAAGAGCCTACCACACAAAAAAAGCCCAGGTCCAGACGGGTTCACAGCCGAATTCTACCAGACACACAAAGCGGAGCTGGTACCATTCCTTCTGAAACTATTCCAAATAATCCAAAAAGAGGGAATCCTTTCCAAATCATTTTATGAGACCAACATCATCCTGATACCAAAACCCGGCAGAGACTCAACAAGAAAAGAAAACTTCAGGCCAATATCCATGATGAACATAGATGCAAAAATCTTCAATAAAATACTGGCAGACTGATCGCAACAGCACATCAAAAAACTTATCCATCATGATCAAGTAGGATTCATCCTGGGGATGCAAGGCTGGTTCAACATACGCAAGTCTATAAATGTAATTCACCACATAAACAGAACCAAAAACAAAAACCACATGATTATCTCAATTGACGCAGAGAAGGCATTTGACAAAATTCAACAGCCCTTTATGCTAAAAACCCTCAATAAACTCGGTATCAGTGGAACGTATCTTAAAGTAATACAAGCTATTTATGACAAACTAACAGCCAATATCATACTGAATGGGCAAAAACTGGAAGCATTCCCTTTGAAATCCAGCACTAGACAAGGATGCCCTCTCTCACCACTCCTATTCAATATAGTACTGGAAGTTCTAGCCAGAGCAATCAGGCAAGAAAAGAAATAAAGGGTATTCAAATAGGAAAGGTGGAAGCCAAATTGTCTCTATTTGCAGACGACATGATAGTATACCTAGAAGACCCCATCACCTCAGCCCAAAAACTCCTGAAACTGATAAGCAACTTTAGCAAAGTGTCAGGATATAAAATCAATGTGCAAAAATCACAAGCATTCCTATACACCAATAACAGACTTAAAGAGAGCCAAATCAAGAACAAACTGCCATTCACAACTGCTACAAAAAGAATAAAATACCTAGGAATACAACTCACAAGGAACGTAAGGGACCTCTTCAAGGAAAACTACAAACCACTGCTCAACGAAATAAGAGAGGGCACAAACAGATGGAGAAACATTCCATGTTTATGGTTAGGAAGAATTAATATGGTGAAAATGGCTGTACTGCCCAAAGTAATTTACAGAATCAACGCTATCCCCATCAAGCTACCATTGACTTTCTTCACAGAACTGGAAAAAACCACCATGAACTTCATATGGAACCAAAAGAGACCCCGCATAGCCAAGTCAATTCTAAGCAAAAAGAACACAGTGGGAGGCATCACACTACCGGACTTCAAACTATACTACAAGGCTACAGTAATCAAAACAGCATGGTACTGGTACCAAAACAGAGCTATAGACCAATGGAACAGAACAGAGGCATCGGAGGCAACACAACATATCTACAACCATACAGTCTTTGATAAACCTGACAAAAACAAGCAATGGGGAAAGGATTCCCTGTTTAATAAATGGTGTTGGGAAAACTGGCTAGCCATGTGCAGAAAGCAGAAACTGGACCACTTCCTGACACCTTACACCAAAAGACCTGGCACCATAAAAACCCTAGAAGAAAATCTAGGCAAAACCATTCAGATCATAGGAGTGGGCAAGGACTTCATGACCAAAACACCAAAAGCATTGGCAACAAAAGCCAAAATAGACAAATGGGACCTAATCAAACTCCACAGCTTCTGCACGGCAAAAGAAACAGTCACTAGAGTGAATCGGCAACCAAAAGAATGGGAAAAAATTTTTGCAGTCTACCCATCTGACAAAGGGCTGATATCCAGAATTTACAAAGAACTCAAACAGATTTACAGGAATAAAATAAACAAGCCCATTCAAAAATGGGCAAGAATATGAACAGACACTTTACAAAAGAAGACATACATGAGGCCAACAAGCATATGAAAAAATGCTCATCATCACTGGTTATTAGAGAGATGCAAATCAAAACCACACTGAGATACCATCTCACGCCAGTTAGAATGGCGATCATTAAAAAATCTGGAGACAACAGATGCTGGAGAGGATATGGAGAAATAGGAACACTTTTACACTGTTGGTGGGAGTGTAAATTAGTTCAACCATTGTGGAAGACAGTGTGGCGATTCCTCAAGGCCTTAGAACTAGAAATTCCATTTGACCCAGCAATCCCCTTACTGGGTATATATCCAAAGGACTGTAAATTGTTCTACTATAAGGACACATGCACACGAATGTTCATTGCAGCACTGCTTACAATAGCAAAGACCTGGACCAACCCAAATGCCCATTGATGATAGACTGGACTGGGAAAATGTGGCACATATACACCATGGAATATTATGCAGCAATCAAAAATGATGAGTTTGTGTTGTTTGTAGGGACATGGATGAATCTGGAGAACATCATTCTCAGCAAACTGACACAAGAACAGAAAATGAAATACCACATATTCTCACTCATAGGCGAGTGAGGAAAAATGAGTACACATGGACACAGGGAAGGGAGCACTACACACTGGGGTCTATTGGGGGGAATAGGGGAGGGACAGCAGGGAGGGGGAGCTGGGAGGGATAGCCTGGGGAGAAATGCCAAATGTGGGTGAAGAGGAGGAAGGCAGCAAAACACACTGCCATGTGTTTACCTATGCAACTATCTTGCACGTTCTGCACGTGTACCCCAAAACCTAAAATGCAATAAAAAATTAATTAATTTTAAAAAAAGAAAAAAAAGACCAGCTAATAAATATGGAAGACACTATCCAAATTTATCAAAATAAATTACCCTTTTGCACTTCTAAATATTTCACCAGTCTTGAAAGAGACATGACAAGCTTTCTGACATTGAAGCAGTAAGAAAGAAGTACACTATAGCACCTAGATATTCTTATTGCCACAGTGGTCTACAGTACTTGAATCTAACCATTAAGAAACCATCTGACAGATCCAGCATATACGACATTCTATAAGCTGCACACCTAAGATTTCCTGTCTTGAACAACAAACAGTAGGTATAGTCTGTTCGAGATTTAAAAATCTTAAAAAGACCTAACAACGGAATGCAATGTGTGAGCCTTGGAGGGTCCTGGGTCCTGAGGACAGTCGGGGAAGATTGAATATGACTGGCTTATTAGATGATGTTATGGAGGTTTTGTTTTTTTTTCTCAAATATAAGGATGTGGTAAATAGGAGAATGTTATTTTTAGGAGATGTAAATTTGCAAATGGAAGTGTTTAGAAGGAAAACGTCATATCTGCAGTTTGCAGTCAAATGATTCAGAATTTGCTCCTGCAGATATAACAAAATGTTAAGTCTGTGAAGTAAGAGAAGGGATCTGGGTCTTCAGTATACTATTTTTCTTTCAGTTTTACAGTAAGTTTGAAAATTTTCAAACTGGTCTGGCATAGTGGCTCACACGTGTAATCCCAGCACTTTGGGAAGCCAGGGGAAGATTTCCTGAGGCTAAGAGTTCAAAACCAACCTGACCAACATAGCTAGACCCTGTCTCTATTTAAAAAAAAAAAAAGGGAACGAAAATCTTCAAAGTAAAAGTTGGAAGAAAGGTTACAATATATGATACTGCTAAAGAAAATATGTAGAAAAGTTTATGTGATTGGGAAAGCAGACACATGTTCGATTACTCTGCATTAATCTTTGGTACTTCTTTCTTTCCATCCTAGTGGTTTGGATAATAAGTGTTCTGTGTACCCCTTGACGTTTGACAAAAATGAAAACATGGCTGCCAAAAAGAAGTCTGTTGCTATGCACACCAACTACCTGTCGGCCTGCAGCTTCACCAACTCTGACATGCAGGTAAACAGGCAGTCCCCAGTATAGGCCAACCTGCGGAGCAGCACTAAAGAGGAGCTTAGAGGAGAGGAAGGTTTCGGTCGGCATCTCTCTGAACAAGATGGGTGTGCTCCAGTAGTTTGCTCTAAGAGGAAGCCCCTGTTGTTTCTCATTAGCTATTATTATTTTTAATAACATGAGAAAGTTGGGGGCTAGTGATTGTTGAAAGAGTTGAGATAAACTGCATGCCATATTGAAAATCCTCCTCTGATTGACTTGGCAAGGGTGGGAATGGAGTAGGGAACCCCCTGGGGTGAAGGCAGTTACTGTGTCCTGGTCTGAGTGCTGACCTGTGTAAAGCTTCACTGAGCTGTTGGGCTTCAGAGCTGTGCACTGCATACATCTCACGTTACAGTCCAGTTTTAACAAATGTAAAAAGAAAGTGCTTCATCATGTTAAATCTTTGCTCTACTTCGAATACACTACAGTGAAAACAACACAGATTTCTTTAGCAAGTGGTGAAAGCACCGCATCGTTTGTTTATTCAGACTTACTCAGCAAACCTTCTCAGTACCCACCACCCACATTGCCAGATACCACATTGCCGAAAACTCAGGCTTGGCCCTCAGGGACCTTCATGGAAACCAATAATGGTTGGACAGTGGGGGAACTGGGGAGCTCAGAGCAGGAGGGGTTGGTCACAGACTTGATGCTCTCACTGAAGAGGGACCACTACCACTCCAGGCGGCCACAGAGTGTGAGGGAGCACAGTGGGAGGCAGGCAGCCCTAGAGGTGGGTGGGGCCGGGTCTCAGGGCTCCCTGACTGCCTGAGCTGGACCCTGTAGGTGGCGGGAGCCCTTGCAGGGGTCAGTTCAATTTGAGTTTGTTTGAAGGAGGAGAATGTCTGAGTCAGATTAAAGCCTTCCATGGTTTACTCTGGCTTTAGTGGACTGATGTCCATTTAGGAGGGATGGGGAGGTTAGAGGCAGGGAAGTCAGGTGGCTAGATAATTGTTCAGTTGCTGACAGGAGGGATGTTGGGACTTGCAGCATCGCCATTATGCACCTGTTGTTTACACCTATTATTTGAACCTAACCAGGAATCTTGCAGACCTGTTCAGCAGGGGGCGCTGTGGCCACTGGCTGGCTGCAGTGGCCAAAACCAGATGTCTTTGGGCCTGAGGTGAACCAAAGCAACAGAGGGCATTTAGGCTGGATGAAGGCAGGCTCAGGTGGGCATCTGAAGCCCCTCTGTGGAGACCCATCAGCCTCGCTCTGTGTTGCCACGGGGCAGGGTTGGGGATGAAAGGGATAACCTGTAGGTTAGAAATTGCTTTCTTTTCCAACAAGCAGTTTAGCGGGAGATAGAGGGAAGTTGCAGCTGGCTACCTTGGTGGGGACATGGCCTGGGAGGCAGAGGGGATAAAGGGTGGCTCCGGAGGCAGACAGCAGGATTGGATATTGGTTGCATGTATGCAGGCCTCCTAAGGGAAGTCAAGGCTGGAGGAGGTACTGTGGACAGCCACAGGGTGGTGGGGTACAATGCCAGAGTGGGAGCAGATTCCCCTCCTTGTAATGTGTTCCTTCACTGCAGAAAAAGAAAAAAATAATACATTTTTTTTTGAGACCGAGTCTCACTCTGTTGCAGGCTGGAGTGCAATAGTGTGATCTCAGCTTACTGCAAGCTCTGCCTCCTGGGTTCAAGCGATTCTCATGCCTCAGCCTCCCAAGTAGCTGGGACTACAGGTGTGTGCCACCAGGCCCGGCTAATTTTTGTATTTTTGGTAGAGATGAGTTTCACCATGTTGGCCTGGATCATCTTGAACTTCTCACTTCAGGTGATCTGCCCACCTTGGCTTCCCAAAGTACTGGGGAAAAAATGAGATTCTTTAGTGCAAGGCCTAACATATAAGAGAGAGGAGAAGAGAAAGGGAAAGGGGGCAAAGGGAGAGGGGAGAGAGCCCATCAGCAGCTGGAAATTGAAGGTGTGGTATAGTCAGTGGGTGCATTGCGTGCTAGCAGCATAAGGCCTGATTCCTCTTTTCTTTTCTCAGCCATCAGTAATCACCTGCAAAGGGCTCTCTTGCGGACACTTACACTGCAAGAGCCACTTCCTCCACAGTCTTATCACCTCACCCAGGCCCTGTGGAGCTGCCAGAAGCGGGGAGTAGGGAGGCTCTGCTCTCAGAGCTTCTCCCTTGCAGATCTACCCCATCACTGTCAGTACCCAGCTGGCTCCAGGACTCTGTGATGCCTGGGCCTATGAGGGCTCCGAACCTTGAGCCCTCACTGCCTTTTTCTCAACCCCAGGAAGGTATGATCAGCCAGAGCCCAGGGCTCACACACCCTGGCAGTGACAAAAAGCAGAACTCCAGCCTTGCCCCCATGTCTTTCCCCAGGCACCCCTGTGTGCCTGTACTCTGTGGCCAGCCTTTGTACTTGTAAGCTATCCAGAGGCTCTTTGGGCCTCTGCCAGAGTTTCCTAAAATATACGTTTGCTCTTCTCATTCTCCTGCCCAGAAGCTTCCAGAGTCCCCTCTTGGCTTCAGGCTGAGTCCCCACCTGTGAACGGGCTCACCTTTCATTTAGTGCTGACAAGCTCCCTGGAGTGCCTCCCTCTCCTTCCCTTCCTTCATCTGGCCAGCTCTCCCTCTTCCTTGAAGTCCAACTCAGATGTCACCACATTGGGTTTGGGACCCTCCTGTTTGCTCACCTGGATCCCTGCACTTCTCATGCTATTGTAATTGATCCTTGTCTACTGGTGATGTCAGCTCCCCAAGCAAACATCAGAAACACTTGCAACCGAGCAAAGCTAAGCTTATCTGACCTGCCGCAGAAAGGGAGAACCTCAACTTGGCAGAATCTTAGTAGTGTCAGAAAATGGAGGAGTTAGGGAAGCATACTTACAGGATATCAGGGCCCAGGCTTGGTGATTTTTAAGCTGAATCTTGCAAGTGTTTTAGCTTTGGATTGGTGAGCCCAGCAAGGAAGCAGTCTTAAAGTGAGTCTGCATGAGGAAGCCGTTAATCTTGGTAAGTTGTCTAGTCAAGAGTCGATTCATAGTCCTTTTTTTTATTTTGTTTTGTTTTTTATTTTATTTTGAGATTGAGTCTTGCTCTGTCACCAGGCTAGAGTGCAATGGCGCTATCTTGGCTCACTGCAACCTCTGCCTCCCAGGTTCAAGTGATTCTCCTGCCTCAGCCTCCCGAGTATCTGGGATTACAGGCACCCACCAACATGCCCAGCTAATTTTTGTAATTTTAATAGAGATGCAGGGTTTCACCAGGTTGGCCAGGCTGGTCTCAAACTCCTGACCTCAGGTAATCCAACCACCTCAGCCTCCCAAAGTGCTGGGATTACAGGTGTGAGACACCGCGCCCAGCCAATTCATGGTGTTTTCTCCCAGAAGCAGGTATTTCCTGCAGCAAGCAATTAGGTTATTTTTACTTGGTCTCAGTATGTTTTAACATAGTAACAGGAAAGTTGGCCAGGTACCAGAATTGTTTAGCACAGGGATAGCGAATTATGTTGGTTTCATTCTTACTGCCAATCCTATTAAACTGAGTTCTGGGAGAACAGAAACGGAGACATAGTCTTTCTGCAAACCTTCATGCATTAGTAGAGTACCTGGCAGACACTGTCAGCACACAGCAAATGTTTCTTGAACTTATGCATGCATGAGTATCCTCTGCCTCCCATCCATGGCCCTGGGAAGCCTTGGGCAGCACTGTGCTCGGGAAGAGCAGCAACAGAGAATGTATCCAACAAGATGCTCGATAGACCCCTGCTGCTCCCAGTGTGGCCCAGCAACCAGCCTCCGCATCCCCTGCGAGCCTGTGAGAAATGTAGACTCTCAGGCCCCACCCCAGACTCTGTATTAGCAAGCAGCCCAGTGATGTGTGTGCATCAATATCCAAGAAGCACTTTAAGTGTCTGGCCTGCACAGCAGTGGGAGACATCAAAGGTTTTGTTCAGCAGAGACTCATGGAACACTTTCTACAAGCCAGGCATGTGTAGAGCCCTGTAGGTACCACCATGAGACCGCCAGGATTTCAGCTCTGCAGGGAGACAGGCACATAAACTCATAACTCAAGGACTATAAGGGTGTCGGAAATGCACTTTTGCCTTCTTGGTACAGGAGAGAGATTTCTGTGCATGAACCCAGATGTAGCAGGTGTGTCTGCATGTGAGTGTATGTGTATGCGTGTGTGTGTGTGCCCTTTCCCTGTGGAACATTAATCCTCTGACTGCCCCCAGCAAAAGCAATAATCACAGCCACACACTTCCTGTCCTTTTCTGTGGGCAGATCCTGACAGCAAGCGGTGATGGCACATGTGCACTGTGGGACGTGGAGAGCGGGCAGCTGCTGCAGAGCTTCCATGGACATGGGGCTGATGTCCTCTGCTTGGACCTGGCCCCCTCAGAAACTGGAAACACCTTCGTGTCTGGGGTAAAAGACTCAATGGAAACTCCCTCGGGCTCCGTTGTCCATTCATGGATTAGCCTAGGCACTTCCCTAGAAGGGGCTGCAGGAATTTTCCTCAACTCCCCACTAAACCCCCAGCTCCTACAGAGTGACCGCATTGGGGTCTTGGCGGGCAGCTTCAGTGCTGGGCTGTGGGGGTCTCCTTCCGTTCTGCCACTGATGTTAGCAGTCTAGAGTAATCTGGAATGTTCTCCTGTATGAGTGCTGCAACTCAAGGTGCATATCAGCCACATTTTAAAAAGTCATTCCTCAAATAGCAGAGAGTGAGTATCTGAGAGCATCACAGATGTGCACAAGGGCACAGCAGGTCAGATGGCTGCTGAGCTGAGGCAATTCTGTGACGCCACCAGGGCTTTGGGCTTGTGAGGCACTCTTCCACTCCGCCCATGCCAACCACCGTCCTCCCTTCCATTACAGTGTGCAGGAAACAGGGGCTTGGAAAGCTCAGAGTTGGCACACAGGGCCACAGAGACTCAGAGAAGCACTAGACTAGGATTCAGGGTGCCTGGGTTGCAGCTTTGCTGCCTGACTGTAAGTGGCATCCTCTATAAGTTGGGCATAATGCACAGTAGTATTTGCACCTCCCCTCCCCAGGATGGTACAAGCAGTCAATGGAAGAATTTGCCGTGTGTGTGCGCATGCACATGGGAGTGTCGAGTATTTCTGTGGACAGCCTGAGAATAAGGAGAGAGAGCTGGGCCAGCTGACCTTACCACGGGTCCTGTCTCACCTCTGTCAAAGGGATTGATGAGACAGGACAGTGACGCGCACACTGTCAGGTGACTTTTGCAGCTGGGACACATAAGGGACCTTTGCTCCAGGCTGCCCACACATCAATCCCGGGAGCCAGGCCAGGGCTTTGTGAGCTGTAGTGAGCAGCGACTCTGATTTTCTTCCTGGGTATTTGGCCGTGTGGAGATGTTTCATCCCTGTGCCTGGTATCACTATATTTATCTCTCCTTAACTACACTGTTTTTTGAAAATTACTGCTATTACTGTAGATCACATTGTCTCTTTTAGAGCACTAAAGTGTATCCAATTTAGTGTCCTCTAAAGATGCGAAAGCTTTTCTAGTTTCTTTGTCCACATTTTCAGTAAAGACACTCAGGGTGCTGAACTCCCACAGCAGGCCTTTCTCAGATGTGTGATAGCACTTTATTACACACTCCCTCTGCTCCAAGTTGAAACCAACAACTTGGACACCAATTTGAAGCCATCACTTTTTGACCATTTAAGCCGTTTGACCATTTAAGCTATTTGACTATTAAGAATCCTCATTCTACTACTTGAGCTGATAACATGACCACTCTGCAGGACCTTATCAGGCTGCTCCCAGAGCCTTGATAGGGTAATGTGAAAATGCTCATGTCTGTGACCCTCTGGGTCTTGTTAGCAACCTGAAGAGAGCATTGACTTTACAGGTGTTGAAGCAGATGCCCTGGGAGGTGACTCTCCTAAGCCACCCAGTGCACTGCTGGCAGCATCCTGACGGGCCCCTGGTTTGCAGATTCCCAGCCTGGCATGCTGCTGAGGGTGCAGATGGCCCGGGGTGCCTGGCTCTCCAGCTTTGCTTAGGGCTACCCCATACACCAAGATAAAGCTGGGACTCTTGGCTGCTTCATTTGGGCACTGCCAACCCATTTATTAATGTCACAACTAGAAAGGTCCCACCATGCACCACTACCTGCCTGCCTTGCCCTCTGGGCTCAGGGAAACAAGTATAAAGAGGAGAGAGAAAAGAAGGGAAAATGAAGGGAAAGGAGATGCCCAGGGGAGGGTAAGAAGGGTTTGCCTGCCTCCACTCAGAAATGTGCAAAAGAAGAAAACAAGCTAAAAGAGAAAGCTGAGTGCCTCCCCTCCTCACTCCCATCCCAAGACATGATTCTAGACTTCTAAGGGTTTGCTGACTGAGGAAATTAGCCTGCAGGTAAAAAGTCTCGGAAAAGTATGTTGTCAACCATTTGCTAATGAGAAATAAATGGTCTCTGTTATATAACCTTGTCTATAGACATTCCTGAAAGTGGCCATAACTCTGGGTAATTTTGCATTTGTAGGGATGTGACAAGAAAGCCATGGTGTGGGACATGCGCTCCGGCCAGTGTGTGCAGGCCTTTGAAACACATGAATCTGACATCAACAGTGTCCGGTCAGTGAGTAGAGTGTTCATACCACCTCTCTGTTCTACGGCGTTACCTGGCTTGGGTAATCCTTAGCCCAGGAACCACCTCCAGACTTAGTTTACTTGGCTGAGGGAGGCCTCCCCAGCAAGAAAGGCTGATTGTGGTGGAACTGAACAGTACTCCAGAATTCATGGAGAATTTGAATTTAATCACATTAGGAGTAATTAATATCCTCCCTAAGTTGAATCAGCATTTTTCATCCATCCATTCAGTATTTATTGAGTATTTGTATGCTAGATTCTATTCTAGGAACTGGGACTCTTGGCTGCTTGTTCATCTTGTTCACCAATATACTGGTGAACAAGATGAACCAGGTCTCTTCTCTCTTACAGCAGACAAACTAGCAGACACAAACAAATATACAATTTCAAATACTGATAAATACTATGAAAAAAAAAAAAAAACAACAGGGAGATGGGATGGGTCATTTCTTAGAGGTCAAAGACAGGCTCCCTGAGAAGGTAACATTTACATTGAGGCCAGGATGATGAAAGAGCCAGGCACATGAAGAGCTGGGGGAGGAGCACAGAGATGAAAGGTTAGGGGACCTAACAAAAGGCCAGGTCGTCACTGGAGAGTTTTGAGTTGGGAGGGGTAGGGGTGGCTAACCTGATCATGTTTTAACCTCTAAAAGATCGCTCTATTGGGAAGCTGATGTGGGCAGATTGCTTGAGCCCAGGAGTTCAAAACCAGCCTGGGCAATGTGGCAAAACCATCTCTAGCAAAAAAATACAAAAAATTAGCCGGGCATGGTGGCATGCACCTGTAGTCCCAAGCTACTGAGGAGGCTGAGGTGGGAGGATTTATTGAACCCAAGAGATAGAGGCTGCAGTGAGCTGAGATGGTGCCACTGCACTCTAGCCCAGGCATCAGAATGAGACCCAGTCTCAAAAAAAAAAACCTAAACAAACAGAAAGGATCCCTGGCTGTATGGAGAATACATTGTAGGGAACAAGAATGGAAATATGACAGCCCATTAGAGGTGGTTGTCTGAGTTCAAGAAAGAAATGGTAGTGACTGGAACTAAGGAAGACATGGTAGAGACAGAGAAATGTCAAGAACTGTGAAACATCTGAGATTTTATCTACCTCTGAGTTAATGAGTGAGGTTGTCACAGCTCAGGGATGCTGGTAGAAGACACAAGACTCATGGGTCAGAGGTGAAGAAGGGAGAAACAGTGGAAGGTGTGGTGAACACAGCTGGGTGAGGCAGAGTGGAGCGCTTTAAAGACATTGGCTCTCATTCTGCATCTGGCTTGTAATTTAGGACTCGTATTTCCCACTAATCATTGAGAAGAGAATGACAGAAACAGTAATAATCATCATTTATTGAATGTGTTTTATTTGGCACCATGCCAGATTCTTTGCATGAACTGTCTTATTTAATCTTCACAGTAGAATATATGCATTATTATTCTCAGATGAGGAAACTGAGGCTGGGCAAGAGGAAGTCATTTGCCAAAAGTATCACATGTAGTAAATGGTCAGTGCAGACATCCAGATGTGGCTTTGTGCATCTGATTTTCAGTGTCTGTGCTCATAACCACTTACTTATCCCTGAGCTCTGAGCCAAGGCTTAGGAATTAGGTATGTGATTGAGGGAAACTATTTACAGGCTTTTACAGCTCTGTGTTCTGTACCTAATATAAACACATATTATCTCACTGTGCAAAGCCAGTGTCACTGTTCCCCACTTATAGGGAAGGCACCTAGAAGCCAGTGGACCTGACATATGAGCTTCCTATTCCATCTTCTGCTGCAAATGTTCCTTGAGTCCCTACAAGTAAAGATTCTGATTCTAAGGGCCTAGCATGGTTCTGATGGTCATTGAGGGTCAGAAATCACCACCCTAGATAAACTACTTTCTACCCATACTTTCTCTCTGCAGGTACTACCCCAGTGGAGATGCTTTTGCTTCAGGGTCAGATGATGCTACGGTATGTTTCTAAGTTATTGAGTGCTTTTCCTATTTGAGAGATCTGCTAACTTATTTTTAGAAAATAACTATTTTTCTGGTTACAGAAATAATGAGTATTCATTGAAGAAAATTTGGGGGAATATTAAATTATCTTGATCTCCTTACCCAAGAAAAAATCACACTTGGATGAATTCCTTTCTGTCTTTTTTTCTTTTTAACAAACAAAATGCTTTATAATTTGGCCTTTTCACTTAGCAACAGAATGTGAACATTTTCCCAGGTCGATAAATATTTTTCTCCATTATATTTTCTTAATGTTGGGTAGTTTTCCATGTTATGAACATGACATTGGCCTTCAATTTTTGGACATTTGGCTTTTCTCAAGGGTTTTTTTTTTTCTGTTAAAAACACTTCCATAATTTTTTTTTGTACCTCTCTTATCATTTCCTTAGAATTCTCAGACATAGGTTGCTGAGCCATAAATAGACCCAGTTTTAAGGCTTTTGATACTGATTGCCAAATTATTTTCAAGAAAAAAAATGTTTTCTTATTGTCCTCAGAATATGAAATATAATGGTTTTCATTCTGATTTGCTGCTATAGAAGGAATTACAAAGGAATAGATCAAGAGTTTTGACATAATGAAAATTTAAAACTTCTGTATGTTAAAAATATATAACAAAATATAAGGGACTATATCTTGGAAAAATTCTTGCCATATATAGTACAGGTCAAGTTAAAATCCTGTAGATATGAATGGGGTTGCATAGGCAATAAAATGAACATGCCAATTAAAGAAGAGAGTAAAATGCAGGTCATTTACAAAGCAGTAAATCCAAAATGGCAAGTAAACACCCAAAAATGTTTTCAAAGTCACTGATAATCAAAGAAATGCATGTTTTAAGTGATCGGATGCCCATTTTGCCACTTGAATTAGCAAAGAATTGCCCAGAGGTTGGGTTGGTGAGGAGCCTAGAACAAGCCTGGGGTCAGGATAGTTGGCACCACCCTCCTGGAGGGCAGATTTGCCATAGGAAACGAGAGCTTGAAAACATCTCTATGTTGCCGGGCACGGTGGCTCACACCTGTAATCCCAGCACTGTGGGAAGCCAGGGTGGGTGGATCACTTGAGATTAGGAGTTCTAGACCAGACTGGCCAACATGGTGAAACCCTGTCTCAGCAAAAATACAAAAATTAGCTGGGCATGGTGGCGGGCTCCTGTAATCCTAGCTAATCAGGAGGCTGAGGTGGGAGAATTGCTTGAACCTGGGAGGTGGAGGTTTCAGTCAGCAGAGGTGGCACCACTGCACTCCAGCCTGGGCAACAGACAAGACTCCATCTCAAAAAAACAAAAACAAACAAAAAAAAGGTAAAAAATTAAAAAGTAAAATAGGTGAGGCATGATAGATAGCTGATTCCTGTAATCACAACACTTTGGGAGGCCGAGGCAGGTGGATCACCTGAGATCAGGAGTTCAAGAACAGCCTGGCCAATGAGGTGAAACCTTGTCTCCACTAAAAATTCAAAAATTAGCTGAGCATGGTGGTGGGCACCTGTAATCCCAGCTACTTAGGAGGCTGATACAGGAGAATCGTTTGAACCTGGGAGGCAGAGGTTGCAGTAAGACGAGATTGCGCCATTGCACTCTAGCCAGGGTAACAAGAGTGAAATTACATCTCAAAATAAAACAAAGCAAAACATCTCTGCTTCTGATCTGGTCATGCTATTTTCTGATAACTCTTCTAAGGATTCTGTTTCTCACCTAGTCTAAAGAAAATGTTATATATAAATTTTTGGTGCCACAAAGGAAGAGCACTCAAATATAAATTGTCCTCAGCAAGAAAAATTACTTCTATAGAAGGGTACAGCTCACAGATGGAGCAATGGCGAGCACACACCTGGACAGTGGAGGGAACGGGTACTTATGCCTGACAGTGGTCACCCTTACTGCTGTGTAACCCTGTTGGACAATGGAGGGAAGGGGTACTTATGCCTGACAGTGGTCACCCTTACTGCTGTGTAACCCTGTTGGACAATGGAGGGAAGGGGTACTTATGCCTGACAGTGGTCACCCTTACTGCTGTGTAACCCTGTTGGACAGTGGAGGGAAGGGGTACTTACACCTGACAGTGGTCACCCTTACTGCTGTGTAACCCTGTTGGCTAGGGTTAGACCGCACAGTCTAGTCTAATTCCAACTGGCTGTTTTAAAGGGAGCAGGGGTATGAGCCGGAGTGGCAGGGTGGGTGGTTTGGCAGGAAGGACAGTTACGGGCAGGTCAGGACAGGTAACTAGGGGTCAAAGCAGGTGACCAGAGCAGGTGGCCAGAGCAGGTGACTGAGATGAGTCTGGATGGGGCAGGGGACTGGGGGAACAAATGTGAACTACTGATTAGAACTGGTGGAAAATATTGTTTATTGAAACTACAAGGAAAATAAACTTTAAAATGAAGAATTAAAGAATAAGAGAACTGAACATACTGATATGCTGATTCTTTGAAGAAAAACTTGGGGTTCACTATATCTAACAGAAAATACCAGAAACACATGTAAAGATTTTTAGAGAAGAATAGTTATTATAATATTATTTATGAAAGAGAAAAATTAGACACAACAGAAACAGGGTTAGGCTGAATAGATTCTGATATATTCAGTAACCATGTCAATCATCTTTTTTGAAGTTTCCTTTTAATGTTATGAGAAAGTATGTATAACCTAATGTTGATAGAAGCAAAAATGAAACATCCAACCCATTCGGATACACATGTAAAATAGAAATAAGACTGAAGGAAACAGTTCAGAATCAGTAAATACCTCTAGGATTTAGGGTGGCCTTCATTTCCTTCTGTATACATTTCTGAATATTTTCAAATCTTCTATAACGAACATGGGTTCTTAATCAGAAAAAAAAAGTGGGGTCTCATATTGTTTTTATACCTGAAGAAATTTGCTGTATTTGCTGTTTCTCTGCTGACTCTTTACTGACTCATAGAGATTACTAGGAATCGGGCCTCTTTACTGACTCATAGAAATTAATCGGAACCAGGACTAAAGGAGGAAATAACCGTAGGGAAAACTAAGAAGTTTTTCCTTCATCCTTTAAATGGCACAAGTCACTGGCACCTACCTGTAGCTCTGTGATCATCGTGTCACCAAACTGGAGCCAGAAGTAAGTGCTTCTTTATTTTCACCCCAGTGTCGCCTCTATGACCTGCGGGCAGACAGGGAGGTTGCCATCTATTCCAAAGAGAGTATCATATTTGGAGCATCCAGCGTGGACTTCTCTCTCAGTGGTAAGATTTTATTTCACAAACTTTTCCCAGGACTATAAGACGGGACCAGAATGAAACTAGCATTCCATCAGGCTTTTGGTCAACTGAACTTCCTGTGGACCTCCTCCACATTTGCACCAGGTTTTCTTCTCTGAGCTCCTGACTTCCCACTTTGCCCTGCCCCAGGCAGCTTCCCCTAGCTCCATTCCCTCCAGGGGAAAAGAAGGCTGTACACCCACTTAATGCTGTCCTTGAAGACAATGAAGTGTCAGAAATTCGCATCTGCAGCGCTCAGGCATTTTCCCTCCAGCCTTTGCTTCTTTTCAGGCCCCAAAGGGAATGTTTCTCTAAGGGGAAATGAAGCAGGAGTCCCTTCTAGGGCCAGACACTGCTCGTGTCTGTAATCCCTGCATTTTGGGAGGCCAAGGCAGGCAATCACTTGAGGTCAGGAGTTTGAAACCAGTCTGGCCAACATGGTGAAACCTTGTCTGTACTAAAAATACAAAAATTAGCTGGGTGTGGTGGTGCACACCTGTAATCCCAGCTACTCGGGAGGCTGAGGCAGGAGAATCGCTAAAACCTGGGAAATGGAGGTTGCAGTGAGCTGAGATCATGCCACCTGCACTGCAACCTGGATGACAGAGTGAGACTCTGACTCAAAGAAAAAAAAAGAGTCCCTTCTCAGCATCCTGAAGCTCATGGCTCCTTTGTGGGAAGTTGCCAGTGAAAGTTAAAGCATAGCTCCAGAAGTATCATGTCAAAAAAAGAAAGAAAAATAGAAAGTTAAGGTAGAGCTAACAGGCTGGCTACCTGGACCACACCATTTTTCCAGACATATCCTGTACTAACTGCACATGATGTTCCTTCTCCTGCCTGGAACTTCTCTTCCCTGCCTTCTCTTGCATGACAGACTCCTATGCAACCCTCAAGAGCCAACTCAAATGTCACTTTAATTTTCTCTCTAAGTAAGTTTTACAAGTTATTAACTACCAAATGACTACAAATAATTTACTTGTGTCTGCAGTGCCCTCCTTGACCCTCCTTCCTCTCTGATCCCATAGCACTCAACGTGTGTAAAGCAACTGCATTATGGCTGTTACCATGGGATGCTGCAGTGATCTGTTCCTCTCAGCCCTGCATCCTCTACTGCGGGTAGTGACTGTGCTTTCTCCCCTTTCAGTCCTCAAGGCAAAGCACAGTGCTTAGGACTCAGTGGGCCTAAATCACTGCTTACTGAATGAGTGAGGGAGTGAGTCATGAAATGAGAAACAGGAAGCAAGGAACTGCCTTAACAGCTATCATCTCACCCTGCTTCAAGGTCGCCTGCTGTTTGCTGGATACAATGATTACACTATCAACGTCTGGGACGTTCTTAAGGGGTCCCGGGTCTCCATCCTGTTTGGACATGAAAACCGTGTTAGCACTCTACGAGTTTCCCCCGATGGGACTGCTTTCTGCTCAGGATCATGGGATCATACCCTCAGAGTAAGAGATGGTTTTCTGTTTTCCTGTGTGTTTGTGTGTGTGGCGGGGGGCAGGGGAGCAGTGATGGGCCTTCTGAAGCAGAGGGAAGGCTATCAGAATAAGCTCAGATGGGCCTGGTCAGCTATGCCAAACTCCCATTTTCACTCTACCCACAGTCACAGAAGGCATGAGTTGCGTGGAGAGGTAGTGAGTGCTCCATCAATGCAGGTATTCCAGCACAGACTGGACAACTGTGTATCAGCCTTTAGTTGAGGGAATAGTTAGGCTTGACAATCCAGAATCTTCCTTTTGATTCTAAAAGTCTGATTGTTGTGATTCTAGTCTTTGGCAAACCACAGATAACAAGTCTCTTCTCCTATAGTTAGGGTTCTGATTATGATTATTGACCTTGTGATGACAAGGGTCACAGATCCAGCAGGCTGTGAAGCCCCTGAAATTGCTACTTTTTTATTTTTAATTTTTCTATAGCTTAATCTTGGAAGTGAAGCCCCTGAAATTACATGCCCAATTTGGGGCATATGCATTTTGCCCTCATGGCTTTCATTAAATTCTCAAAGAGAGCTTCATAACCTAGAGGAGTGTTGGCTCTCCTAAACTACTACCCAAATTGCCTGTTTAGGCCGGGCATGGTGGCTCGTACCTGTAATTGTAGCACTTTGGGAGGCCAAGTTGGGCAGATCACTTGAGCTCAGGAGTTCAAGACCAGGCTGGGCAACATGATGAAACCCTGTCTCTACTAAAAATACAAAAATTAGCCAGACATGGTAGCATGCACCTCTAGTCCCAGCTACTTGGGAGGCTGAGGCAGGAGAATCACTTGAACCCAGAAGGCAGAGGTTGCAGTGAGCCGAGATCATTCCACTGCACTCCAGCCTGGGCAGCAGAGCAAGACTGTCTTTTTTTTTTTTTTTTTGAGACAGAGTTTTGCTCTTGTTACCCAGGCTGGAGTGCAATGGAGCGATCTCGGCTCACCGCATCCTCCGCCTCCTGAGTTCAGGCAATTCTCCTGCCTCAGCCTCCTGAGTAGCTGGGATTACAGGCACACGCCACCATGCCCAGCTAATTTTTTGTATTTTTAGTAGAGACGGGGTTTCACCATGTTGACCAGGACGGTCTCGATCTCTTGACCTCGTGATCCACCTGCCTCGGCCTCCCAAAGTGCTGAGATTACAGGCATGAGCCACTGTGGCCGGCCAAGACTGTGTCTTTAAAAAAATTTTTAAAAAGCCCATTTATAGAGCAAAGCTAAGTTTATTGCTTGCCTCAGTGTGGAACATCAAGAACTGGTAGAGGTGTGGTGGCATCTCAGAAGGGGAGGGCAAAGGCATGCATGAGGTTTTTTTGGTCTGGTTTAGGCAGGTCTTTGTTGGGGGGCACTTAATTAGGATTGGACAAATGTGTGGCATAATAGTTTTAGGATTGCTGGACACAGGGTTGGGGAGAGTTTCAAACAGACTCTTCAAAACTAAATAGTCATTTGATGCTCTGTATTGTCCTGAGACGTGGGTGTATTTTCTAAAGAAGGTAAGTTGAGTACTCTAGTGTTAGGATAAATAGAGAAAAGAATTTTTGCAAAATTCCTGAAACAAATAAAAAAGTTAACCTGTGAGTTCATCTTCCTGGGTAAGAGTGTCCTAAATGAGTAAGTCATATTAATATACACAGTGAGCTGTATGGGTTCAAATGGCATCTGGGAAAGTAGCCAGGCCCTAGTAAGGAGGCTGCAGAGGCCCCATAGTTGATTAACCAAGGGAGGAGGGAAGCAGGTCCAAAGAAGCACTTTTCAGTAGCTAGGAGTACAGTGTTATCCTTCTAAGGCACATGAGCAAACTATTTTGGATGGAGTGTGTGTGTGTGTGTGTGTGTGTGTGTGTGTGTGTGTAAATAGACTAACTTTATCTCTTTAAGCTCAAGTTTTATAAGTTGTTACCTAAAGGTCTAAATCTATCTGTTTGTGTCTTCACAGGTCTGGGCATAATCATAAATGCACTCATGTATACCTGAGAATTTGAAATCTTCACATGTAAATAGATATTACTTCTAGAGGAGCTTAGGGTTTACTGCAGTTTAGCTTAGGGGAGCAACCCATGGCTCAGAGGTCACCAAGCATCTCCAATATGACTATTAAAACTGTCGCTTCTGGAAATACACTAGTGTGAGCCTTCAGCACTACGAGAATACCTTCAAGTACAGTATTTTTCTTTTGGAACACTTTTTTAAATGTATCTGGTTTTATCTGTTTTTAAGGTTATTCTAAATTATTCTAGCCTCAACTCATTCTGTCACCAGTAGAATTCAGCAGTTAACATATTCTATATTATTTCTTTGAATCAATTCATTTTCAGAGTGCTTTAAAGTCTGGGATTTCTTGATGTGCACTGTGATACCTGGAACTTTCCTCTGGAAGTGCTGGTTTTATGGACTGAGGACTGGTAACTGGTGTGTGATAGAAGCAAATTCCAATTCCAAATGTAATTAATTAGACAAAAATCACTTTTTTTTGGAATGTGTTTTTGTTGTAAAAGTATCTTTTTCAGCCTCCTGTTCTATTGTCTTTTTTCAGATAAAACATGTTTGCCTATGGTGAACTGCTATAAATGATGCAGAGAAATGCCTAAAATGGACAGGTTGTTTGATTCATGGATGATGTGATAATATGTCACTGTGTCACTTGGACAGGGCATTTTCTCTGAATCGAAGGAAAAGCCAGTGCTGTCTGTAAACAAATGCTTCTGAGAGCAAGCAAAACTTTTCTGAATGGGTACACAAGATAGGAAACTTATTTAAAAACATAACAGTAGAATTAGCGGAAACGTTTCAGTTAAAGTGGAGCTTGTCCATAATAATTATATTCATATGTATTGCATTGCATTTATAAGAACATATGCAGATTGACTGATAGTCTTGAATAATGTCTGTTCCTCTTATATAGAAAGAAAAACAATATTAAAAGATCTTCTCCCTTTTTTTTTTTGAGACAAAGTCTCACTCTGTCGCCCAGGCTGGAGTGCAGAAGTACAATCTCAGCTCACCACAACCTCCGCCTCCAGGGTGCAAGCGATTCTCCTGCCTCAGTCACCCGAGTAGCTGGGACCACAGGCAGCACCACCATGCCCAGCTAATTTTTGTATTTTTAGTAGAGGCAGAGTTTCACGGTATTAGCCAGGATGATCTTGATTTTCTGACCTTGTGATCTGCCCACCTCAGTCTCCCAAAATGCTGGGATTACAGGTGTGAGCCACCACACCCGGCCACAAGATCTTCTCTTTATTTGAGATTCAGAATTCCCTCTGGAAGAAGGAACTGCTTTTTGTTATAGGATCCCTTCTTTTCCTTTTTTTTTGTATAATGTAGATGCTTATTCTTTGCTTTAGAAAACTTCTTATTTAAAAAGATAGCATGCATTATTATTTAGGGAAATAAAAGGTCACCTCAGACACCAGATGTCATTCTAGGGTGAGGCCTGCCTCGTGGGTGGCCTGGGGTCTGCTGGCGGGTTCTGGCTGCGCCTGAAGGCTGTGTGTTCCCTGTCCCTTGGATTGTCATGTCTCCTCTCCTGGTCCTGCTCCAGCCTAGCCCTTCTCCTCGTGGTAGTTCTGGCTTTGCAGGCCCAGCTCCAGGCTGGGCTCCTGTGAACATCCAGGGGTGTGCCAGGCCCACCCTCACAACTGCTTGTTCAGGTATCGTGATGGGCCACTTGGTCCAAAATCAGCCAGGCCAGCTTTACCATCACCTCACTTCAAATAAACATGATAATTATGTTTGATGATTTGCAGAGCACTTACTGGTAGTTTTACTGTACAACAGGGTCTGGGGTAGAGAGAGAAAAATAAAAGGCCTCTGCCTGCCTCCAGTGAGCCCAGAGAGACCAATTTTTATTCCCAGTAGATTCCAGTCTGGGTAGGGGCTCAGGAAATGGGCCCAGTGTCTGGCCAGCTCCTGCTGGCTGCTGAAGGGGTCAGGGACACCATGGGATTCCCAAGCTCAGCTCCAGAATGTCCCAGAGTGGTCCCTGGTGCAGCTGGCCTCCTTGTGGTGGCATCCCCAGCTCTTTGTCCCACAGCCTTTCTTTCTTCTTTGTCTTTGCACTGTGCCTTCCAGCTCCTAGGAGTGAAGGAAGGCACGGGAAAGGAAGGAAAGGTGGCCCAGGGGAAGCACCATTCCAGGTTCTGTGTTTGCAAGGGTGGAGAGCACCTTGAAGATATGTGCAAAGTAGACTACTGACTTTCCAATCCAAAAAGCCACTTTAAGGGCCCAGGGAAAGTATTCCAGAGAATGGTTCCACTTCTCCCATGGGCAGGAAGTCCCCTCGCTGTGAGTGTGTGCTCTCGCAGTGGGCACGGGATTTGCTGATGAGATGCTTGATTTGGACTCTGTGGCAGCATGTGGAGACTCGGGGTATGCTCTGCGGAATAGATTGTATTCTTAGATTGAATATAATGCGAGTGCATTTTTATAATCAGCTTTTCTTTTTTCCAGAGGACTCGGGGATAAACCTACCAAACCAATTGTGGTGAAGGAGCCAAACAGATGGGCCCTAGAGGTGTAGAGCCTTGGGCAGCCCCCTCCCTGGCCAGAAAAAAGAAGGTTCTGGCAGAAAAGAGGTGTGGGCGATGGGTATTTATGGGAAATACCTGTGACGGGAAGCCAAGTCCAGGGTCTTTAGAATGCACAGTCAGCCTCTCACCAGTGGGGCCCTGGCAGCCGTCCCTGTCCCCCCACCAGTGAGTCAGATGTCCCCCCACTGGTGAGTCAGAGGTGGGGCACCCTGGAACCACTGCCCTCTTCCTGCCCTTCTGTCTCCTCCACACCCTTCTGTAGATTATAAGTGGTTTAAAGCAACACAGGGTTGTAAGGGCCTTTGTGTCCCAGGCTCTTGTGGTTGCCAGGCCAGCTGGCTGAAAGGTGGCACCACCGATACTGGGACTCCTCTGTGAGTCAGCAGGGCTCCATGGTGACAGAGGAGGAGGTCTGACCTTGGTTCACGCCCAGCTCTGTCACTTTCAGGGAATATATAATATCTGAGTTTCTCTCAGCCTCAGTTTCCCCATCTGTAACATGGGAGGGCACTAAAATATGTAAAGTGCCTGCCTCAGCCCTTGGCACATCTTTAGGAAGGGTTAGTTCCTGGCTTCCTCCCTGTGTCCTCCTCAGTCCCCTTCCTGTTTGCCCCCCTCCCTTCTCCCTCCATCTATCCTCCCTCTTTCTCTTCCCTTCCCCTCCTCTCTCCTTTCTTCTCCCTCCCTCCCATCTCCTCCTCCCTCTCTCCCATCTCCTCCTCCCTCCCTCCCATCTCCTCCCTCCCTCCCTCCCATCTCCTCCTCCCTCCCTCCCATCTCCTCCTCCCTCCCTCCCCTCTCCTCCTCCCTCCCTCCCCTCTCCTCCTCTCTCCCTCCCATCTCCTCCCTCCCTCCCTCCCATCTCCTCCTCCCTCCCTCCCATCTCCTCCTCCCTCCCTCCCATCTCCTCCTCCCTCTCTCCCGTATCCTCTTTCCTCTCTGCTGCTCATTCTCCCAGATGAATGAGTCTCATTAATCTGGACTCCTTTTTATAACCCCTCTCCATCTTCCTCCCTTCCTCATGTCCTCTTCCTCTCTCTCCGTTTTTCACCTCTTTCCTGGTCTCCTTCCCTCCTCTTCTGCCCTTTCTCCCTCCCTCCTTCTCCCTCCCCATTCCCCTTCCCCCAATGCTTTCTTTTCTCCCCATCTCCTCCCCCTCCATAACCAGCCCCCACTCATATAGCAAGTTAGTAGTTCTCATCAATTGGAGCTTCATCTAATTGTGGTTCTCAAGCTTTTTGATCTTAGGATCCCTCTACACTTTATTTTGTTTATTTTTTTTGAGATGGTGTTTCGCTCTTATTGCCCAGGCTGGAGTGCAATGGCACAATCTCAGCTCACTGCAACCTCTGCCTCCCAGGTTCATGTGATTCTCCTGCCTCAGCCTCCCATGTAGCTAGGATTACAGGCATGCACCACCATCTCTGGCTAATTTTGTATTTTTAGTAGAGATGGGGTTTTTCTGTGTTGGTCAGGCTGGTCTCGAACTCCCAATCTCAGGTAATCCGCCCATCTCAGCCTCCCAAAGTGCTGGGATTACAGACATGGACCACCGCACCTGGCCTACACTCTTAAAAGTTGTTGAGGACCCCAAATAACTTGTGTTCATTGTGGATTGTATCTATCCAGATTTCTTGTATTAGAGATTGAGACTGAGAAAAGTTGTAAAACACAAGAATACAGATGCACACATTCCATTAGCCATCAAGGTGGTGCTTTCATCCACGCCGTAGTCTCTGAAAACTCCTGAGAGAATGAAAATTAAAAAGCCACCTATAAAAAAAAAAGTCATTATTATTATGAAAATAGTTTTGGCCTTGAGGACCTCCCCGAGATGGTCTCAGGGACCCTTGGGGCTCTGGATCATGCTTTGAGAACAGCTGATCTGGGCTTATGATCCCTTTTCCAGCCCCTCTGTGTGAGACCTCCCAGAGGCCATTAAGGGCCTTGGAGGAGCTTGGGAAAGAAAGAGGTGACAGGATGATTGAGGAGAGCCACCGTAGGGAAGGCCTTTGGAAGAGGCTTTGGGGCAGCGCAGGTCGGTGGAGGAAGTCCCAGAGAGGCAGTCAGGAGGGCTAGAGACCAGCTGAGGCCCATGACCCTCCAAAAATCCTTTCAAAAGAGGATGCCTGGGAGCCTGGGGAAAGCACAGCAGGTGGGGTAGAAGACTGACTGGGGCAGACTGACTGGGGCCGGGGCCACTCCCAAGCCTGGGAGAGCTGACTGGGGATTTGTAGATATTCATTTCCCAAAGTTGCCTGCTGAGAAGCAGCTTCCCAGCACAGCAGGTTCAGGCCCTGCTTCTTTAGGACCTCACCCTTAGATCTGGACCAGGTGGGCCTGAGGTGGGCCAGGAAATACAAGGCAAAGGCCCACTGGGGAGGCTGCAGGTGAATCTGGTTTCTGTGGATCCTTTGTGAGAATGCGATGCTAAACCACACGGCCTCTCATCCATGACCAGGGAGAACTGGGTCATTCTTCAGGGCATGCCACAGACTCCTGCTTCTAGACAGGGCTTGGCTGGAGCCAGACTGGCCTTCAGGATTGTTCAGTCTCCACAGGGGGACTCTGGCCGCCGGTGGGCTGCCACAGGGCCAATCCCAGTGAAAGAAATAAAATGATTGGATATGTTCATGTCATTAGAAAAAGGATGCAGCAGGGGATGGGAGGAGTTGGTTAATGGAATCACATTTGCAGTAACATAGTTGTCTAGTGTTTGGCAGCTCTGTAGGGTGACTGTCACTAACAGTGCTTTATTGTGTATTTTCAAGTAGCTAGAAGAGAGAATTTTGGATGTTCCTGTCAACCTAAATAACAAAGGCAGGCTCTCCAAAAGAAAAAGATACTTAATCAAAAGTAGGGCATTGCAACGGGAACATGCGCGCCATAGTAAACTGTGTGCGTATTCTAGGAGGTAAAGAAAGACAAAGGTTTTTAAAGGAAAAAATGAGGTTTTGAAATAATTATCCTTGGCTATGAATATCAGTAATAAAGGTCACAGCAGTCCGAGGTTGGACAGGCAGTTGCTAGGCAAATGTCCTTGCAGAAGTAATTTTTGTGTGAGGTTGCAGCAGCCTGTGGGCAACGTTGTAATTTTTGCAGGATCTTCCGTGATCGTTTTTGGTATTAGGCATACAAGCATGAGAATCCCCTCTTCATGGACTCCCCAGCTCTATTTGTTACAGTTTTTTTTTAAAACACTTGTGACTCCATTTGAATTCTAACGACTTTCACATTCCCAACACAAAGAAATGATAAATGTTTAAGGGATTAATATGCTAATTACCTTGATCATTACACATTGTATACATGTTTCAAAATATCACACTGTATACCATAAATATGTACAATTATGTCTCAAAAATAATTATTTTTAATAATAGAACCAGAAAAAAAGACGCAGACCCTCTAATAAGGAGATGGGATCAGGAATGATTTCGTCGTTAATTTAACCCACATAAACAGCTAATCCAATTATGGTATGTAAAGACTGTGGCAACAGGAAATGCCTGTCTTTGAACGTCGGGTCATCTAACCAGCACGCCAATGGTGAAAGATTAACTTTGTCGGAAACCAGGAACCATGAAGCAGAGGTCACTGTTTCCAACCTATGTGTTTTCCACTGTAATCGGCAGCCTCCCACTGAATTTATACCCAAGAGAAATGGAAACATATGTCCACGCAGAAATTTGAATACAAATGTTCATAGCATTATTCATAATAGCCCAAAGTGGAAACAACCCAACTGTTCAACAGTGGATGAACTGATGAACAAAATATGTATCCACACAATGGAAGAAAATGAAAGTGCTGACGCACGCTACCACACGGATGAACCGGGAAAATACTGTGATGGGGAAAGAGACCAGAGACAAAGGACCACGTGTTGTAGGGTTCCATGTGTATGAAATGTCCTAATAAGCAAACTCATAAGACAAAAAGCAGATCAGTGGTCACTTAGGGCTAGGGTGAGGAGTGGCCTTTAGTGGGCACTGAGTTTCTTTGGGGGTAATGGAATTAGTGGTGGTGATGGCACAATTCTGTGACTATACTAAAAACCAGTGGATTGTAAGAGGGTGAATTTTATGATATATGAATTACACCTCAAAGCTGTTACTTAAAACATATGTGGAAAATAATAGGCAGTCACTTGCTATTCTCAATAAAACAGACCACATAGGTAAGACCAATACTTTTGGTCACATTTTGGGTTTGGCTGAGAATGGGGCAAGTGAGCATAGTCACCCTTGTTGGTTCACAAAAATAAAAGTTTCTCTGGAATGACAACCTTTTACCATGTGCCAGGTACTGTACTGTGCACTTGGCATATACCAATTCATGCAGCCCTTGTGACAGCCCCATGATGCAGGCATTTCATTATCTCAATTTTTTAGATGGGGAAATTGAGGTTAGGAGAGTTGAATAACTTGCCCATAACTGCACAGCTTCCAAGTTGCAGAAACAGAATTTTCACCAAGTCGTCTTGCAAACTCCTCGTGTGGACTGGAAAATTCTGTATTAAGGTTAATTTATTCATTTGTTGTTTATTTCTATTAATAATTATTGAGTTACCAATGGCAGTGCCAGAGGATTTACCATTTACCCCAAAGCTACTCTAAGAAAAAATGTTCTTGCTGCTGATCTACAAAAAGTTAAAACCATGACTCTCTTGCAAATAAAACATGAACATGTATCCAAGCTTTTATTTAACTCGCTGATTGAGGGAACCAGCAAGATGTCAAAACCAGTTCAAATGGGAATTTGATGTACAGAAATTTATATTCTAACAAAATTTGTGTGGTTCACTGTAAGGAAACATTTGCTTTGGCAGATTAGGCAAGCAGCAGATGCACCAGCCAGCTTAGCCTTTGGAGGGAGAATTCATGTTATTGGACCCACACATATCCTCTGTTCTTGCTGCCAGGAGCTCTCAGTTTATGGGCACATTGAGCAGACACCACAGCAGCTACATAGAGAGGCTGGCTGACAGCCACAGAGCATGTAATTCTGTCCATCTGATTCTGAGTCTCCTCTGCAGTGGATGCCCTTCAGTGGGCATTCACGTGAGACGCAAGTGTCTTCAGTCCGTGCCCATTCCGAGGGGTTCAGCCACATATCTCTTTCCAAGATTTTCTTGTCACTAGTCTTCCAGTCCTGTTCTTTTTAAGCCCCTGACCATCCAGCCTGACCATCCAGTCAAATCATCAGCGACTGTCCATGAATCAATGTAGGTGTGTACTGTGGCCATCTCTCACTCCAGACATAGACAACCTTGGATTTCTGCCCACTGGAAGGATTCTCCTTCACCACTGTCCTTCACAGACACCCCGAGTGAGTGTGAGTGAATGCTGCAGCTGTTCTCTTTCATGTGGTACCAGCACATCATATAGACCCATCTATAATATAGGCTGGAGGTTTTTCTCAGTCAACTGGCCGTAAGTAGCATCCCTGGAGGCCATAGGCATGACATGAGGGAGAGGAGGCAAAGCAATAGGAGTTGATGTTGGAAGAGTCTGAGCTACCTGCTCATACAATTTACAGTTCAATTCTGAACCTGCCGGGCTAAGCTTCTAATACTCCACTTCCATTTGATGATAGATTGCTGCTGTGTACATTCAACTTTATGGCTACATAGGTCAGATGACATCCAGCTCATGATGGGAGATCAGACTCCATTGTATCTTCAGTGCTAAGAGGGAGAGGCCTAGCACCCCAAAGGCTCTTACTAAATATGAATTAATACAGCCAGTATTGGTCCTCTAGCAGCCCCCAAGAGAATTCGCTTTTTTCCTGCCACATGCACCAGACCCCAAAGAAAGGACTCTCCAATACAGACCTGGGTGCTTTCCAATCTAGAGATGCAGATAATGGCCAAGGGAGTGGTCCGTGCGGGGCCTTGTGTAGCCTTTCTCCAGCTCTCCTTAAGAGGAGACTGAAGCCCAGCCAAGCTTCCCAGACTGTCCCCTCAGGTTTTTAGTCCCCAGGCCTGGAGCTAAATAACCCCCAAAGAGTGGCACAGTGCACCTGATCGCTACGCGAACACGTGCGCACCGCCCGGCCTTGGGGACTGGAACAGGTGCAGTTGGGATTCCCATCAAAGGCTCCTCTCCCAATCCTGAAAACAAACATCGAGGCTTGGGGGCTGGGGCGGGGCATGGCAGCCCCTCCCTGGGGGAGGCGCGGCCGGGCCAAGAAAGCCCGCGAAGGCCCGGAGCCCCAGCAGAGGCCGGACCATGGCTGACCCGCTGTGGCAGCGCACCGAGCAGCTGGTGACGGACTACCTGGAGTACTGCTCCCGGGAGCCTGGCACCCCCGAGTCGCCGCCGTCCACCGCCGAGGCCGCTGTGCTGCGCGCCGTGGCCGCCAGTGTGCGGAAACTCTACCGGTCTTTCTTCTCCGCCTACCTCGGCTACCCCGGGAACCGCGTCGAGCTGGTGGCGAGGATGGCGGAGGCCCTGCTCTCCGACAGTCCCGGCCCCACCTGGGGCAACGTGGTGATGCTCCTGGCCTTCGCGGGGACGCTGCTAGAGAGGGGGCCGCTGGTGACCGCCCGGTGGAAGAAGTGGGGCTTCCAGTCTCGGCTGAAGGAGCCGGAAGGCGACGTCGCCCGGGACTGCCAGCGCCTGGTGGCCTTGCTGAGTTCGCGGCTCGTGGGGCAGCACCGTGCCTGGCTGGAGGCTCAGGGCGGCTGGGTGAGCAAGGAGGGGGACACAGGGCGGGATAGGCACCTGGGAACCGCCCGCACACGTGCCGGGCACGAGGAGGGACCCACCGTGTCAGGCCCCTGGAACGAGGTTTCTTGAAAGCAAAAGGGCTCATTTCAGCGGGACTGGAATGTTCGGTGTGAGGTCTGGGGTTTCTCCTCCCTTGGCAGTAAGGTTGGCAGGAATAGGCCTTGTTAGATGGCTGTCTATGAACTTTTCCGAAGCAGCCACGCACGGCTTGGGTCTGCTCCCTTGGACCTTGCCCTGGCCTTAGCTCATTGGGCGCTTTTGGCGGCACCCAGACCATTAGGTCTGAATGCTTTGCTCCTATAGAAATTACCAACCAATGAAGTCAGCAATTGGGGGACCAGGCCGAGTGGGGTGTTTTTCTCCTGTGCCTATTAAATGCGCCTTTGGAGAGACTCAGACCCGTCAATCATAACCCCCAACACCTCTCAGTCTGGCAAGAGGGGTTGTGGAGTGCTCTGGTCGCCCAGTGGTGGCGCTTACTCAAGGTTCCTTAACTTCTAATCCGCTGCATCCAGCCCTCAGTGAGGACGTTTCTAGGCCTCTGGTTTCAGCTGCAGGCCTTAATCTTTGGTCAAGGTTAGAGGGATAGGCCTTTGGTCTGCAGCTGTTAATCAAGGAAAGCCACCTGGTGGTGAGACCCTCCCCACACCCCGCATGCCCCCAGGGTTCTGAGCTAGACCCCATTTAATCCTCACCACCTTATTGGCGTTGATTCAGTGACTGAGGTGACCCATGTTACTGGATGCCTATGGCCGAACTATTAAAACCGGCAAGTTTTTTGATCCAAAATGTAGCCTCCTGTGGGTCGTTCCCATTTAGACCTGGTATAGCGACAAGTTGCGTTCTGAGAAGTGACAGGGAGTGGGAGGTGTAGCTTGACCTTCTGCCTCATTCATGTTCGTGTTGGTGTTCAGCCCTCTGGGCCGGTGAACTCCTTTCAGCTGCCTGCCTAAGAGCCTCACCTGAGCTCTCAACACAGCCTCTGGCCCTTCCGGGCTCAGTACCTGAAGAGATGAGAATTGGAAAGGGGCCCTTGAAGGTTTTTTTTTTTTTCTTTTAAGAGTGTTCTGCTCTTGTTACCCAGGCTAGATGCTATGGAACAATCTCGGCTCACCGCAACCTCTGCCTCCCGGGTTCAAGTGATTCTTCTGCTGCAGCCTCCCGAGTAGCTGGGAATATAGGCATGCACCACCACGCCTGGCTCAATTTTGTATTTTTAGTAGAGACAGGGTTTCTCCATGTTGGTCAGGCTGGTCTCAAACTCCCAGCCTCAGGTGGATCCCCCTGCCTCGGCCTCCCGAAATGCTGCAATTACTGGCGTGAGCCACCACACCCAGCAAAAGTTTTTGTTTTGTTTTGTTCATGTTTTTGGCTAATCACTGTTGACTAAAGAATAATCTCTTCACATCAAGAAGCTGAAATTCTCGGTGGGTTGCCATGGCTCATGCCTGTAATTCCAGTACTTTGGGAGGCCAAGGTGGGTGGATCACCTGAGGCCAGGAATTCAAGATGACCAACATGGTGAACCCCCGCCCCCCCCATCTCTACTGAAAATGAACTGGGCATGGTGGCAGACACCTGTAATCCCAGCTACTTAGGAGGCGGAGCCAGGAGAATCGCTTGAACCTGGGAGGTGGAAATTGCAGTCAGTGAGTCAAGATCTCACCATTGCACTCAAGCCTGGGCACCAAGAGCGAAACTGCACCTCAAAAAGAAAAAAAAGCTGAAATTCTCAAATTGGGTAAACATAGTTGACCCTCGTCTCTGCCCTTGCAGTCAAAATGCCACAGCCTCGAGTTAAGTTCCCTTCCTAAATGGAGTTGGTGCTTGCTGTAGTATCAGGTGATAACTTTTCAATCTAGTGACTTGACAGTTTCCCAAAGGGCATCTCTTTGCTCAGAAAAGAGCATAATAATCTACCTTCCTCTTGGTTTTGAGTCAAGATACAAGTGTTCCTACACCAAGTGACAAAGTCAAATGGATGCTTCTGTCCACTTAACAGTCCTCACTCCTCAGGGGCTCCTCATTACTCCGTGTGTATTGATCAGAATTTCCTTCCTTTTACTCTTAAATCCAAATGTTCCTTTGCTGTTTAATCTGCAGTTTCCACGTGTTTTGAGTGAGGCTCTCAGCATCACGAGGCAATCTAACTTTTCTCTCCCCACTGTAGGATGGCTTTTGTTACTTCTTCAGGACCTCCTCCTTGCTGGCATTATGGAGAAAAGTGCTGGTCCAGGTTTTCCTGTCATGGTTGTTAACAGCAGTATTCATCTACTTCTGGACACGATAATGAGGAGTTTTAAAAGTTTTAGCCCACTTCTACCTGCCCAACTGTGACCAACTAAGTGACTGAGGGGTGAGCACGAGAACTGAGAGAAGGCACCGTCCTCCCACCCCAGATGTTTTTACCTGAATGCATACAAGGAGTCCTAAAGTAATGATTTGGCCAGTGTTTTAACTTGTGACAAGTACTCAGGTGTGAGGACAAGAATGCAGATGGCTCTTCCTTGAGTGGGAGAAATGGGGAGTCTAGTACCTCATTATGCCAAAGAATCGCAGAGGAAACTGCATTCCATTAAATGGGAAATAGGGTGCTATTTGCTGAAACTTGGATAAGAGTGAATGTGAACCTCTCATCTCCACAGCTTCATGTGCTGCTGAGGCATTTTAATCTTGGCCACAGCTGGGGCAACACAAGCCCCAAAGCAGAAAAAGTCCCAGTTTAACAAGGAATGTCACTTTAAAATCACTTATAAGGAATTATTTGAGACCAAATCCTTTGAAATCTAATTCCTGGGACTTCTAGGTTTTTATAGTTAACATATTAATTAATAAATTGTTAACGTCAAAGTTTTAATAAATTTATATCTTAAAAAAAGTTGGCTTTCCTGATTCAGTAAGCCCTCATTCTTAGGAGTAAGTTGAACTGATGACAATTTGTTCTTGTTGCCTCCTTAAATAAACATGTAACAATGCTTGATTTTTTTTTTTTTCCCCCAGCAAGGCACAAGCTCATAGAAAGTCCCTCATTTCTCCCCTCCTCCCATTCTGCAGTCAAACTATCACCCACCTGCAAGGTGGTTAATTGTGATTCCCTGCAGGCCTTCCCACCTGTTATTATACACAGGATACGCTGATTTAACTTCCTTGCCATTGATGTGTATTTCAGGGTGTTTCTTCTTTTGGGGCTACTGGAAACATTGCATGGAGCTTTTTTGTCCATAGCCTTGTACACATGCATGATTACATTGGTAAAAGCATCCTAGAATGAGAATATAGAGAATCTAGTCCCAATTGACATGTATTAAAATTTGGCTTCTATCAAGTTATTACTCAAAATAGGCTAGAGCAGTCCAAACCTAGACCAGGGCATGAGAGTGCTTAGTTCTTCACACTTGGCAGTATTGGATTTTTTATTTTTTTTTTTGACTTGGTCTGTCCCCCAGGCTGGAGTGCAGTGGCAAGATCTTGGCTCACTGAAACCTCCGCCTCCTGGGTTTGAGATTCTTGTGCCTCGGCCTCCCAAGTAGTTAGGATTACAGTCGCCCGCCACCATGTCCAATTAATTTTTGTATTTTTAGGAGAGACAGGGTTTCACCATGTTGTCCAGGCTGGTCTCAAACTCCTGACCTCAAGTGATCTGCCTGCTTTGGCTTCCTAGAGTGCTGGGATTACTAGAGGCGTGATCCACAGTGCCGGCTAGATCATTCTAATGTTTGACTTTATGGCCTCAGGGTTATTGCGGCCTTCTTGACAAAGATCCATGTCCTAAGAGTGTAAAAAGCATTCTATGTCCTTGGTCACTAATCCATTCTAAATTTTTTTTGGTGAAGTATGAAGTAGGGATCATTTCTTGAAGAGCAGGGGTAGATATTTCAGCATTATTCATTCACAGTCCTTTTTCCCCTGCTGATTTGAATATATTTTCCATTCTGTTCTGACATCTTTCATCTAATAGCACTATCTCGACTGCTGTATGTTCCCAGTATATTTCAATACCTGATGGGCTAAGTCTAATCCCTTTCCCTATTTTTCAGAAAAATCTTTGGCTCTTTTAGTGAGTAGTGTAAGGTGAATTTTTTAAAAGCAGCTTATAAAAATCCATTCAGAGGCCTGGCACAGTGGCTCACACCTGTAATCCCAGCACTTTGGCGGTGGGGGCAGGGAGGTGGGATGGATCTCTTGAGGTCAGGAATTCAAGACCAGCTTGGCCAACATGGCAAAACCCCATCTCTACTAAAAATACAAAAATTACCTGGCTGTGGTAGTGCCCACCTGTGTTCCCAGAGGGTAAGGCAGGAGAATTGCTTGAACCTGGGAGGGGGAGGTTGCAGTGAGCCAAGGTTGTACCACTGCACTCCAGTCTGGGTGACAGAGCAAGACTGCATCTCAAAAGAATCCATTTAGGCCAAGTGTGGTGGTTCATGCCCATAATCCTAGCACTTTATGAGACCAAGGCAGTATGATCACTTAAACCCAGGAGTTTGAGACCAGACGGGGCAACGTAGTGAGACTGTCTTTACAAAAATTTTTTTTAAATTAGCTAGTCTGGTCTGAAGACAAAATAGAATAAAGGAGGAACAAAAACCCAAAAATTACCCAGGCATGGTGGCATATGCCTGTAGTCCCAGCTAGGAGGCTGAGGTGGGGGAATTATTTGAGCCCAGGAGGTTGAGGTCGCAGTGAGCCATGATCACACCATGGCACTCCAGACTGGGTGACAGAATGAAAGTGGATCAATTTGGAAATATATAGTATCTCTTTACAATATTGTCTTCCCTGGTTTTTGTTTTTTGAGACAGGGTTTCACTGTGTTGCCCAGGCTGGTTTCAAACTCCTAAGCTCCAGCAATCCACCTGCCTTGGCCTCCCACAGTGCTGGAATTACAGGCATGAGCCACCACGCCCAGCCTAACATTGCCTTCCTTTCTAAGAACATAAACTCCTGCTCCATTTACTCAGGTCTCATGGTTTTCTTTCTTCCCCCCTCCACCCCCAGTGGAGTCTCACTCTGTTGCTCAGGCTGGGTGCAGTGGTGCGATCTCAGCTCACTGCAACTTTCACCTCCTGGGTCCCAGTTTGAGTAGTTCTCATGCCTCAGCCTCCCGATTAGCTGAGATTACAGGCACATACCACCAGCTAATTTTTGTATTTTTAATAGAGACAGGGTTTCACCATGTTGGCCAGGCTTGTCTTGAACTCCTGACCTGGTGATCTGCCTGCCTTGGCCTCCCAAAGTGCTGGGATTACAGGCGTGAGCCACTGCGCCCGGCCTGTGGTTTTCTTTATATAGGTTCTATTTAGATGTTTTCCAGCTCTTTGGCTTCTGTCGCTATTGGGAATGGAATCTGTAGAGGATGTCTGCCTTCCCCAAAGCCACATGATCTTGCGATGACAGCTCAGTTTTCCTATAGGAACCTACCCATCCTCTGTTCTTAGACCATGTGGCTCTGGTGGGGTTGACTCCTCACTTCACTCCACCCTACGATCAGGAATATGACCCAGATCTGTCCTAGAGAGCCGAGTCCTAAGCAAAGCTGTCAGGGGTCGACGTAAGAGTTCCTGTACACGTTATCAGGCGACACTTCGTTTCCACCGGAGTAAAGAGGGAACCTGCCTGGTGGAGAACACCACACAGAAGGAGAGAGTCTAAAATTCGAAGGCAGGATGGGGTGTGGAGAAACCGTTCTGGTGACATTACTTAAATCTCACAATTTGGCTGTGCCTAAAGCTACTTAGGACTCAGATTTCCTTTTCTGCTTTATTATTTCAAGTGAAAATTCAGTCCCAAATTCGATAATCAATTTTTCCTATTACATTTATTATTCAGTTATGGCTGCCATAAAAAGAAACAATGTAGATTCTAAACTGGCTACTTTGAACTTCCAGTAGTTCGGATTCTTTTTCAACACTTAAACTTTCTTTTTCTTAGATAACTGCATAGGTTTGTGAAGGGTAGTGATAACTGTTCTCTGTCTACCAGTAATTCCCTCCGTTGCTGGTCTATTGATGGCCACCTTTTCTTCTGGCATTTTCACTTTAGCGTTTGAAGAGGAAGATGTGGAGACCTGGCTTAGACCACAATTCAACCTAGACTCTCTCAGGTTGTCTGAGTCAGTTACAGATTAGACACACATGGGTTCATCCTGCTGCAAGACTCCATCTCCCATCAGTGCGCTGAGCTGATAGCACAGTGGTGAGGTCTGCAAGGGTTAGGGAATGGTTTCGTCTGGAATGGCTGCAAGGAGGAGTTAGTTTTTTCACGTGATAATCACGTCATTGTTTTCAGACACGTGGATGCTGCTTCCACAGCTAAATATTCTGGGTTCATAAGAGGAAGGATCATTAGCATGATGCAGCACTGATTGCTAGGACAGTTCCAATTCTCTCAAGAGGCAGATTCTTCGACCCTGAAATACCATCACCCATCAGCCTGTCAGTCACAGGTCTGTCCACTCCAATAGCAGTTCTTAAGGTGTGGTAGTCCTGAAGTCCTGGAGATCAGGGACTTTTGGCCTGATATGCAACCCTTTGTCTACTTTGAAAACTAATGTTATCTCCTCTCAAGTTTTTCCTGCATTTCTAGCTTCTAGCACTTCCAGGCAAATGTTTGCTTCACTCATTGATTGTTTTTTTCCAGTTGTACTTTCCCTGTAACTTTGGAGTCCTTCTGGACCTGCCTCCCTCATCTCCCTGTTTTTCCCCACTGGCACCATGATTATTCCCAGTACATATTAATCAAAGCGTTCTCTATTCACCCTCAGTGTTCAAATCCTTACTAATAATCTTAGTAATGACCTTCATTATCTTTTTAATGGCTCACAGGTGCACAAAATCACATTAATCATTAGTTCATAACATATTCCTGATCGCTTTATACATGCATGGTTGCCCCCTTTTTTTTTTTTTTTTTTTTTTGAGATGAAGTCTCACTCTGTCTTCCAGACTAGAGAGCAGTGGACTGATCTCGGCTCACTGCTACTTCCACCTCCCAGGTTCAAGCAGTTCTGTGCCTCAGTCTCCCGAGGAGCTGGGATTACAGGTGCCCACTACCAAGCCTGGTTCATTTTAGTAGAGTTGGGGTTTCACCATGTTGGCCAGGCTGGTCTCAAACTTCTGACCTCAGGTGATCTACCTGCCTCCACCTCCTAAAGTGTGGGGATTATAGGCATGAGCCATTCCACCCAGCCCCTCATGTAATGTTAATTACCTCATTAAAGGCCCTGTTTTGAAATATTGCCACACTGGGTGTTAAGGCTGCAACATATGAATTTGGGGTGAGATGGGGACACTATCCCTTGGTAACAACTGCCAACCCCTCACCCCCTCCAGAATAGGACCCAAGCAGCTCTGCCTTCCCTGCATCCTCCACCCTGCAGCCAAAAAGCTTTCTTTAAAAGCCAGCTTATTGGTGTCAAGCTTCCCAATTTTTTTTTTTTTTTTTTTTTGAGATGGATTCTCGCTCTGTCACCCAGGCTGGAGTGAAGTGGTACAATCTCAGCTCACTGCAACCTCTGCCTTTCAGTTCAAGCTATTCTCCTGTCTCAGCCTCCTGAATAGCTAGGATTACTGGCACATGCCACCAGGCCTGACTAATTTTTATTAGAGACATGGTTTCACCATATTGGTTAGGCTGGTCTCGAACTCCTGATCTCCTGATTCAAGCCTTGGCCTCCCAAAGTGCTGGGGTTACAGGCGTCAGCCATCATGCCCGGTCCAAGCTTCCCAATTTTAAGTCCTGTAATGCCACCCTACCCCCAACTTTCAGATGTAGTTGAAATTGCTGAAATTAACTCACAAGGGCCTATGTGATCAGCATTTTATTCAACTTTTTTTTCTAAAAATAAAAAAAGGGGGCCGGCTGCGATGGCT